AATCCATTACAAGTAGTTCTCGAGTTATGAGCGTAACGGAGTCTGGAGATTCCATTGTAAGTCACGATGGTTGTAAGTTGAGGCACTCACTTGCGGTCATTCAGCCAAAAGTGGTGGTCGCTAAGCAAATCCATTGTCTGCAATGGGCATTTTTTTTTACCAGGAACAGGAAGTAAAAACCCAATTTCCAGCAAAACACCTTCATAAACCATGGTCACATTACTGCAGGATACTGCAGTCAGCTGTAAATGTGGGCCGGTCACCAAATACTCAAAATGTGATCACGTGACCTTTGGGGAGGGATCAAAATTTCAAATCCAGGTCATAAGTACCCTTTGGGGGGCGGGGATCTGTCATAACTGAACGTTCACTAAGCGACTGGTTGTAAATCAAGACTACTTATATCCTGCATGGAAAAAGTACAGTTGCAAAGAGGATGAGCCCTATCTTTGAAATGATTTGGACTCCATCTTCCATCATCCCCAGCCTGCATGGTTGGGGGAATTGTGGTGCCAACAGGCACTTTAAGTTGCCGTCTCCAATCTGGCCCTCCGTTCTGTTCCAATCTTCCATCTATGCTGCTCTTTTTTTCAGCTGTCCACCCTGATTATGGCATAATGTGTGTAATTCACAACCCATTGTGAGGCTGGTAGACTTTGCATTCACTTTGCTAGAAAATCTTTCCTGTTTGGCTCTGAGCCTTATTGCATAATTCGAATGACAGATTGGACTCAGATGGGGTCCATCCATATGGCAAATACGGTCCGAAATAGGTTCCTTCTGCTAGTTGGAATATTTCTCTTCTAGAGTAGGAGTGTCCAATCTTGGCAACTTCTAAGACTTGTGAACTTCAATTCCTAGGCTGGGGAATTCTGGGAGATGAGCTCTACAAGTCTTATAAGTTGCCAGGATTGGACTCATCTACTCTGGCTGGCTGGGGAATTCTGGGAGCTGAAGCCCACAAATCTTGAAGTTGCCCAGGTTGGATCCATCTGCTCTGCTAGCTGGAGGAATTCTGGGCGTTGAAGTCTACAAGTCTTAAAAGTTGCCAAGCTTGGACCCATCTGCTCTAGCTGACTAGGGAATTCTGGGAGTTGAAGTCCACAAGTCTTAAAGTTGCCAAGATTGGGCACACACACACACATACACAGACCCCGCTCTAGAGCTTCATCCTTTATCCCCTGTCCCTATATTAATAAGGGAAGCTTTTGTCCTTTGGATAATACTTTGCCTTGCTTTTCTAAACCTTTTCATAGAGTCTCTGACCAGACAAGACATAAGCTGCAGCATGCGGCCAAATAAACACCCGCATTGCAAATGTTGACATAGAAGAGTCTGTTTACGTCCATGTTACCTGCTTCTTGAAGACCCAATCCAAAATAAATGCCTGGCACAGGGTGCCCCCACTGCAGCTTCCCTCTGCAAATTCCAGGCAATTCAGCATTTGCAGCGGTGTTCCGAGGTCGGTACACCCTGTACCAAGCGCTTAATTTGGATCAAGTCATAAGCTGGGTATTGTCAGGCACTGCTTTGGAAGGGTTGAATTTACTCCAGTACTAACTCTTCTGCTATTATTAGACACTTATTTGCTTCAGTTTTATGCTAGGTTTCTGGGCAGGGTGCCCTGTATAGAATCATACCTGTGGTGCTAGATATTTGATCTCTGAATCCACTAGTCTTGATAGCTACCGTGTATCCTTGGAAATAAGACCCAACCGAAAAATAAGCCCTGGCATGATTTTTCAGGATGCTCGTAATATAAGCCCCCCCACCCAAAAATAAGCCCCAGTTAAGATCGTCAACCAGACGGATGCATTTAGTACCGTATTTCCCTGAAAATAAGACCTAACCGGAAAACAAGCCCTGATGCATCTTTTGGAGCAAAAATTAATATAAGATCTGGTCTTATTTTCAGGGAAATATGGTAGTACAGGTTGTCCTCGACTTACAACAGTTCAATTAGTGATCGTTCGAAGTTACAACAGAACTTACAACAGACTTACGACTTACAGAACTTACAACAGACTTACGACAGCTTTTTACCCTTAATGACCGTTGCAGCATCCCTGTGCTTATGTGATCAAAATTTGGATGCTTAGCAAGTGAGTTGTATTTATGATAATTACAGTGTCCCAGGGTCACGTGATTTTTTTTTTTTTGCAACCTTCTGACAAGCAAAGTCAAAGGGGAAGTCAGATTCACTGAACAACTGTGCTGCTAACTTAACAATTGCGTGGTTCACTTAACAACTGTTGCAAGAAAGATTGTAAAATGAGGCAAAACTCACTTAACAGTGAGTTTGTTGCTTAGCAGTGGAAATTTTGGACTCAATCGTGGTTGTAAGTCGACTACCTGTATACATACATACATACATACATATATACATACACATATACATATACATATACATATATATACACACACACATACATATATACATACACACACACACATATATACATATATACATGTTGTTGTTAGTTGCGAAGTCGTGTGCGACCCCATGGACAACATTCCTCCAGGCCTTCCTGTCCTCTACCATCTTCTGGAGTCCATTTAAGGTCACGCCTACTGCTTCAGTGACTCCATCCAGCCACCTCATCCTCTGTCGTCCCCTTCTTCTGTTGCCCTCAATCTTTCCCAGCATTAGGCCCTTCTCCAGGGAGTCCTTCCTTCTTATTAGGTGATCAAAGTACTTGAGTTTCAACTTCAGGATCTGGCCTTCTAAGGAGCAATCAGGGTTGATCTCCTCTAGGACTGACCGGTTTGATCGCATTGCAGTCCAAGGGACTCGCAGGAGTCTTCTCCAGCACCATAGTTCAAAGACCTCCATTCTTTGGCGCTCAGCCTTTCTTAAGGTCCAACTTTCATAGCCATACATTGCAACTGGGAAAACCATGGCCTTGACTATACATACTTTTGTTGGCAGGATGATGTCTCTGCTTTTTATACATAATACACACACACACACACACACACACACATATACACACACACGGAGGGAGAGAGAGAGAATGCACAGTGGGGGTTGGGTGTGTAACTGATCCATGGGGATCCAGTGATGAACATGAGTTTTACAGACACCCACACATATATACATAGATACAGGGTCATGTAACATACACGGTGTTCTTCTCTGCCCACATATGAAGGTGAATGAATTATGTACCAATAGTGAACAATAAGAGAAGACTCTTTAAGAGTCCCTTGGACTGCAAGGAGATCCAGTCAGTCAATCCTAAAGGAAAGCAACCCTGGTTGTTCTTTGGAAGGACAGATTCTGAAGCTGAAGCTCAAATGTTTTAGCCACCTAATGAGGAGAGAGGACTCCTTGGAAAAGACCCCGATGTTGGGAAAGATGGAAGGCCAAAGGAGAAAGGGATGGCAGAGGAGGAGATGGTTAGATAGGGTCATTGACTCAGTGAACATGAATTTGGGCAAACTCCAGAAGACAGTGGAGGAGAGGAGGGGCCTGGTGTGCTATAGTCCTTGGGTTCGTGAAGAGTCAAACATGACTTAGCGACTGAACAATAGCCATGGAAGGGGGAAATGGGGACTTCCATGTCAGAACCCCCAATCGGGGAGGCACATGGTTGTCTGGCCAGCTGAGGACCCCATCTGTGGCTTCCTACTCTCTTTGTATGTGGGGTCTTCACCCACCCCCTGCTGCAGTGATGCTGAACACTGAAGTCACAGATGGTTAAGGAAAGCTTTGGCATCTCTTCAGGCAACAGCCAACCAACCCCAGAGGGAAATTATTCTCTGCCCTACCGGGCAGCTGAATGTAAATATTTGAGATTGACAGGCCTCCCACATGGAACAGCAGCAGCCAGACTGTTCAGCCTTGAAATTCTGTTCCACCACCATCATCTTTTTCAATAGGAAAAAACTGAAGGTGTACATCCGCCATTTTAAGACAGGAACTTTCCGTCCAATCTTCTCTTAAAAACCTCCAATCTTGGAGCATCCACAACTTCTGGAGGCAAGCCGTTCCACCGGTTGATAGTTCTCACTGTCAGGAAATTTCTCCTTGGTTCTAGGTTGCTTCTCTCCTTCATTAGTTCCCATCCATTGTTTCTTGTTTTGCCTTCAGGTGCTTTGGAAAATAGTTTGACTCTTTCTTCTTTATGACAGCCCCTTAGATATTGAACACTATTGTAGGCAAGTATGGCCCCTTTATGACCTGTGGACTTCAACTCCCAGAATTCCTGAGCCAGCATGGCCCTGTCCTTAAGATCATTTTGGAACCTAAAAAAGCTTTAGAAATATTTTGTGTGAAGGGTTATATTGATGATGAGATTGGTCCCTTGTGTAAAGAAGCTAGACATTTTACTAACAAATGCCCATTTTACTAACAAATGCTTCTTGGAAGCCCTGAAAAGACCCCAGGTCCCCATTTGTCATTGTGTTTAGCTTAGGCCAGGGGTCTTCAAACTTGGCCACTTTAAGACTTGTGGACTTCAACTCCCAGAATTCCTCAGCCAGCCCTGGCTGGCTGAGGAATTCTGGGAGTTGAAGTCCACACGTCTTAAAGTGGCCAAGTTTGAAGACCCCTAGCTTAGGCCTTTCTTTGCCAAATTTACTCGTTATGATTTTTTTTAGAAGTGCCATTTATTGGTGATGTAATTTTGTGTGTTTGGACACCTTGCACGTCAAGGGCTGCTGCAGCACAATCTGTGGAGTTTCCATAAGCAGCTGCACCACCCCATCCGAAACATCCTTCCACAGGTTGTGCAAAGTCTGACAGTTTTACCTCAGGGTCTCTGGGAAGCTTCACTGGCACTCCTCAAAAATGCCTTAAGTCACATCTTGAGTTGCTGGTATAGTTGGACTGGCTTTGCAGTTAGCTAAAGTAACATGGTTGGAAGATGGCTACAGATAGATAAATAGGGATGAAAAATAGATGAATGACTAAATAAGTGGTTGTGAAAAATGTGTGTGTGTGTGTGTGAGAGAGAGAGAGAGTTGTTTTTAATCTTATTTTTCTTTTTATTCTACAGGATGCAGGCATTTCTCCAACCCAGCGGGACGAAGTGATTCGGTGGCTGGCCAAACTCCGATGCCAGTTCCACCTTTATCCGGAAACGCTTTCTCTGGCCGTCAGCCTGTTGGACAGGTTTTTAGCTGCTGTGAAGGTAACAATTTGACCTCTAAGATCTTTGCAAAGGGTTGATAGTTGGGTCTCTTCCTGGCTCCATCCCAGCCTGAGCAAAACCTTTTGGGGACGAAATCTTCCATTTCCTGTTCACCTGGACTCTTGATGCTTGACTTACTCTGCCCGGAGACCAAGGGGTTTTGTCCTGTTCATCTCTATGAGCGTGCTCGGCTGAAGGCCATCACCTCCTTCTCCATGTTCTCCGTGTTCATTCATGGCTGGAGCTGAACGGTGCCCATTGCTCTGCCTTCTCTGTTTTCCCAACTCTTTCAACGGCTTATTTCAGGGGTCTGCAAAAATGGCAACTTTGTGGACTTCAACTCCCAGAATTCCCCAGTAGCATTGCTGGCTGAGGAATTCCTCAGCATGGCTGGCTGAGGAATTCTGGGAGTTGAAGTCCGCTAGTCTTAAAGTTGCCACGTTTGGAGGCCCCTGACTTATTTGAAGAGCACAGAGCATTACAAGTGAAAAAATTGACGACCTTCAGAGTACTAACGACCAGATGACTGCAAAGAATATAATAATAATAATAATAATAATAATAATAATAATAATAATAATAATAATAATAATAATAAAAAAGTTGGAAGGGACCTTGGAGGTCATCTAGTCCAACCCCCTGCTCAGGCAGGAAACCCTATACCATTTCAGACAAATGGCTGTCCAGTCTCCTCTTAAAAACTTCCAGTGTTGGAGCATTCACCACTTCTGGAGGCAGGTTGTTCCACTGGTTAATTGTTCTGTCAGGAAGTTTCTCCTTAGTTCTAAGTTGCTTCTCTCCTTGGTTAGTTTCCATCCGTTGCTTCTTGTGATTTATATTCTTTGCAGTCATCTGGTTATTAGTACTCTTGAGTGTCGTCCTTAGCTCTAGAGAGCTCTAATATGAATCCTTCCTTTCCCTACCACTCAGTTAGAACTGAAGAAGCTTCTTAGACGAGAAGTGAAATGTTTTCAAGGAAAAAAGCCAAGAAAGTCCAGTTGCCTTTTGAAAAAGCACTGTTTGGGACAACGGTGACCTGTATGATGGAGAATCTCCATAAACCCGGGGAACAGTACTTTTCTACTTTCAATCCAAAGAGCAGCCCGTTGCTTAGACTAACCAAGATCATTTTGGACCACTTCCGTTTCCGTTTTAGGGAATGGATCTATTTTCTTGCCTGGAATTAATGTCCACTAACAAAAAAGTACATTTCCCTCGCTCTCTTATTTGAACACGGGAGGAAAGAAAGCGAAGGGTTCCCTGTTTGCCAGGCTAAATTTAGCCTCCAGCAGAAATTAAAGATAGAATCTTATGTTGACTTTGCTCGGAGCAAAAACTTAACGAAACACAGCAGGACTTATTTTTGGAGGAACGTGTAGAGCAGCCTTCCCTAATCTGGTGCCTTTCATATCTATTGAAATTTTCTTCCCATAATTCCCATTGCATCTAACCAATTATTGGGAATTATGGGACAGAAATCCAGCCCATTGAAAGGCACCAGACTGGTAGAAACTGGAATGCAGGTAGTCCTTGACTTGTAACTGTAATTGAGCTGAAAATAATAATAGTAATAGTAGTAGTAGTAGTAGTAGTAGTAGTAGTAGTAGTAGTAGTAGTAGTAGTAGTAATAATAATAATAATAATAATAATAATAATAATAATAATAATAATAATAATAATAATAATAATAATAATAATAAAGCTTGACTTCCTCTTCTTTGGCAGCCCCTGAGATATTGGAACACTGCTATCATGTCCCCCCTCGTCCTTCTCTTCATTAAACTAGACCGGGGGTAGGCAATCTTGGCTCTTTTATGACTCGTGGACTTCAACTCCCAGAATTCCTGAGCCAGCCAACTCATGGAGTTGAAGTCCACGAGTCATAAAAGAGCCAAGGTTGCCTACCCCTGAACTAGACATACCCAATTCCAGCAACCGTTCCTTATACGTTTTATCCTCCAGTCCCCTAATCATCTTTGTTGCTCTTCTCTGTATTCTTTCTAGAGTCTCAACATTTCTTTTTACATCGTGGTAACCAAAACTGACATCGTCATAAATAGTTGCAGTTGTTAAATAGGTCACCATGTGACCACAACAAATTTTATGAGCTTTTTTGTGATGGTCGTTAAACAAAAAATTATAATTAAATGAGGACTATCTGTATATAGGTAGTATACAGGTGTAGTCCTTGACTTGCAACCACAATTGAGCCCAAAATTCCTGTTGTTAAGTGAGACATTTGTTGAGTGAGTTTTTGTGCTCCATGTTATGACCTTTCTTGCCACAGTTGTCAAGTGAATCACTGCAGATGTTAAGTGAACAACATGGCTGTGAAGTGAACCTGACTTCCCCATTGACTGCTCGTCAGAAGGTCACATGACCCCAGGACACTGCAACCGTCATAAATGTGAACCAGTTGCCAAGTGTCTGAATTTTGTTCATGTAACCATGAGGATGCTGCAACGTGTGGAAAAAAGGTTATAAGTCACTTTTTTCAGTGCCGTTGTAACTTTGAATGGTCACTAAATGAACTGTTGTAAGTCGAGGATTATCTATATCAGTGGTGGCGAACCTATGGCACGCGTGCCAGAGGCGGCACTCAGAGCCCTCTCTCTGGGCACACGTGCCGTCGCCCCAGCCCCGCCTCCCCCTGCGGCCCCCTCCTCACCAGCAGCCCCCCAGAGGAGAGTCGCCCCAAAGCGCGGCCCACGCGGCGCAGCGCAGCCAAGGACATGGCAGCCAGGCAGCGGGGACAAGACTCCGCCCTCGTGCATGGCCGCCATGGCACTGCTGGGCTGCCTGGGCGATCTGCGGCGGGTCATGGAAGCGGTGAGTGGTCCTGCGGGTGGGTGGGGTGGGGGCAGAGCAGGCAGGACAAGGGCGGAGCAGGGGCAGGTGGGGGAGCAGGGCGGGGCTAGATTTTGGGCATTCGGTTCGCCATCACTGATCTATATCTTCTAATAGGCATAATGCCATATATTCCCATTGCCATATTTTTCTCAGCAAAGGGTGAAAGTCCTTATACTGTGATTTGTTTGCCTCTATCATTTTTGTCCTAAATTATGTTGGACTAGATGACCTCCAAGGTCCCTTCCAATTACTACTATTAATAATAATAATAATAATAATAATAATAATAATAATAATAATAATAATAATAATAATAATAATAATAATAATATAATTTATTTATTATTTGTTACTGAAAGGAATATCCCTTCCTGCCTCTATTTCTACTAATAGCCACAGATAAATTTATAAACCTCTTTGGACCGTTACACCCCAGAGAACTGGACCCCAGTATTACTCAGCACAGGAAACGTAATTTAGAAAGCTCTACAAAAAGAAGAGCTTGATAGAAAATGTAAACCCCGAAATCTTTCTCTTTTTTTAGCAGTCCTAATGTTCTCCTAAAGCTCTTTCCTTAAGCCTTGGGCAGCTTTAGAGCTTTACCATCTGACACAAATTAAGTCTGGGAACAGTTTCCAGCTAGGAATGGAGCTTTGCTTACTTAAAATCTCCCTTGTTTTTTCTTCTTCCTCCTCCAAATAATTCTTCAGTCCCTTTCTTCCATCATCTCCGGGCAGAGAGAAGGAAACAGCATAGCTGTTTATGGTTCAGAGGGCACAGCTCTCATTTCTGTGGGTAGAACTCAGTGTGTGCCTTCGAGTGAGTTTTTGACTCCTGGCAACAACCCGGACAAGTCCCGGTTGTTTTCATGGCACGATTTTTCAGAAGTGGTTTCCCATTGCCTGCTTCCTAGTGTGTGTGTGATTGGCCCAAGGTCCCTTGGCTGGCTTGGCACCTGAGGCGGAATTAGAACTCAGCGTCTCCTGGTTTCTAGCCTGATCCTTAACCAACCCACCAAACTTCTTAAGTTTTTTTGTACCTGCAGAGTTTTCTGTTTCTGCTAATAAAATTAGTTGCAATTCACACTTGTTGAAAGATCTGAGAATAATGGAGGAAGGAAAAGATCTCAGCCTTAAGACAGTGGAAGCAAACCGTTTGGGGCAAGTGTCTCTTAAATTAGATTCAACAGGTAGGATTCGTGTCTCGCTTGGAATTGTCTTCTGAGAAACATTTCTACGCCGTCAAGTGAGGGTGGGCGAGATGTCCCATGGTTGAGAGCCAGTTTCATATAGGGGATGATCTAAAAACCAGGAGACTGTGAGTTCTAGTTCCACCTTAGGCATGAAAACCAGGTGACTTTGGGCCAATCACCAGGAAGCGGCGAGTTCTAGTTTCACCTTAGGCATGAAAGCCAACTGGGTGACTTGGGCCAATGACTAGGAGACAGTGAGTTCTAGTCCTGCCTTAGGCATGAAAGCCAGGTGACTTTGGGCCAATCACCAGGAAGCGGTGAGTTCTAGTCCCATCTTAGGCATGAAAGCTAGGTTAGTTTGGGCCAATCACCAGGAGACAGTGAGTTCTAGTCCCGCCTTAGGCATGAAAGCCAAATGGGTGACTTGGGCCAATCACCAGGAGACTCTGAGTTCTAGTCCTGCCTTAGGCACTTAGGGTGACATTGGGACAATCACTTTCTCTCAGCACAACCCACCTCACAAGGTTGTTGTGGGGAAAATCAGAAGAGAAAAAATATTCGCTATGTCTGCTACTTTATTGATAGGTAGGATACAAATAAATACATAAACAAAATAAAATATCCAGAATTGGAAAGCTAGTGGGTTTACTTAATAATGAAGAAGCTCTCATGAGGCGTCCTTGAGTCACTCTGAACTTCTCTATTGGAGCAAGTTCTCATTTATTTATTTTATTTTTTACATTCTTGAACCTCCCATCTCCCTCACGTTTGGATGAGTACAGGGAGTCCTCGACTTACAACCATTCATTTAGTGACCATTCAAAGTTATCGTGGCACTGAAAAAGTGACTTATGACCGTTTTTCACACTTAACGGCTGTTACACCATCCCCACGGTCACGTGATCAAAATTCGGACGCTTGGCAACTGGCATGTATTTATGACAGTTGCGGCGTCCCGGGGGTCACGCGATCCCCTTTTGCGACCTTCTGACGAGCACAGTCAGATTCACTTTACAACCGTGTTACTGACTGAACCACTGCAGCATTCACCTCACACCTGTGGCAAGGAAGGTGGTAAAATGGGGCCAAACTCACTTCACAACCGCCTTGCTTAGCCATAGAAGTTTTGGGTTCCATTGGGGTCGTGAAGTCGAGAACTACCTGTACCACAGAGGCCGATAGATGCAGATCCATCCACTCTTCCTGGTCTGCTTGAATAGCAGTTTGGAGCCGTGAATTTTTTGGCAGAGATCAGAAGCAATCTGAGCTCTTTCTCTCTCTCTCTTTTTTTTTTGGCGGCTTCCAGAGCTCTGGGTTTAGATTGCAGAAGCCGAAAGCCCCAGTTTCACCTCCCAAAATGGGTTTGAAAGGTTTAATCCCGCTTGCAGAAACAACGCTAGGCCGTCTCCATGGCGACCATATAAATTACCCATTCTGCCCGGTGAGGGATTGTGTCGGGCGTTCCACAGCAAGGCCTTTTCCTCGACTTGCGAGTCGTGTGCCAGGAGCGGCCTCCCAGAAAGCGTTGGGTGGGGCCAGGGGAAAAAAAATAATAATAATTCAAACATTTCGTTTACGTTTAAATTTAATTTGATTTGAATAGAGCGAAGATGACTCTTTTAATTACGCGTTTCACAATCTTCCTGTCTTATTAAAAATTACACTTCCGTAATTGCTCTTGCCAGGTGTGCAGAGGTGGTGGCATCACGGCTTGTCACCTTTATTTAAATTATTTAGGTGCTGATCTGGTACAGTTTAGATGCCACGCAATCCAGGCTCAGAGTGGCTCACGACAAGAACGACACTCAATTAGAATAGAAGCCATCGTACCCGTCAAGAAAACAAGATAGGCATCGTGTAACTTTAATATATAAATAAAAATGAACAAACAGTGCCTTGAGGAGCAGCTGAAACATCCAAGTTCCATAATAGTGGTATCCCTGTTATCGTCAGTTTATTTCTGGGCTCTCCAGAAAAACCATGTTTTTATATATATATATTTATTAATTTTCTATAATCACAAGTGCTTAGTATTTTATCAGCAACATATTGTCTGGGTTCTAACATTCAACTTACTAATACATGTTAAATTCCTTTCTCTCTACCTCGTTTTTCTAGCCATTGATAAAAAGAATCCCACGTTCTAAAATAAACTGAATCTTCTTTTTCTTTCATAAAGTCATAAAAGGGCCAACTTTGAAAACCCCTGGTCAAGGGAGATGACGGCTAAGAACATTTTGAGGTACTAACAACCCCAGAACCTCTCATGGACCACTTCTAGGACAAAGGACTGGAATTTGGCCCCAAATTGGGAAAATTGCAGGCAGTCCTCGACTTACAACAGTTTGCTTAGCAACCGTTCAACGTTACAATGGCACTGAAAAAAGTGACTTATGACTGTTTTTCACACTTAACAACTGTTGCAGCATCCCCATGGTCACGTGATTTACATTCAGATGCTTGGACAACTGACTCACATTTACGATGGGTTGCAGCGTCCTGGGGTCATCTGATCCCCTTTTGCGACCTCCGGACAAGCAAAGGCAGTGGGGGAAACCAGATTCCACTTCACAACCGTGTTACCAATTCAACAACTGCCGCGATTCCCTTAACCGATGTGGCAAGAAAAGTCATAAAATGGGGACCCAAACTCGCTTCACCAATGTCTCCCTGAGCAACATAAATTTTGGGCTCAGTTGTGGTCGTACGTTGAGGACTCGCCTGTATTCAGTGGCGCATTTGGGTTATGTCGTTCCCCCCTACACCCTCACCCCTTCCTCTTAGAATTTGCAATATCCTGTGATCTGCCCCAGGATTGACTCTCCGGCAAGGCGGAGATGATAATGCAAAACGCCAGCCAAGTCTCGGATTGCATTTACGCCGTTTGGCACCCGCTGCACTTCACTTAACCTCCTTCATTGATTTTTTTGCTCTCTATGGATCTCCTCTGCTAGCAGTGAGCCCCTCCCTCTCTCCTTTCTAAAGACCTGGAGACTCGCCAGGTGCCAATTATGCTAAAAAGGCTTGGTGGGTTCCAGGTTTGCTTCTCATAATGGAATATTGATTGTCATCCCTCCTGTTTTACTATGGCTTTCTGAAAGCAGCTGCAAAGAAGGCAAAGAGCGGTGAACTCAAGGACCGAGATAACCTGTGCTTGGCATCCAGGTTTCTTGGGAAATGGTTGGAGGGGCCTTGTTTGAGATTGTCCTGCTTTTTCTCCCTTGTAGGCGCGCCCAAAGTACCTGAACTGTATTGCCATCAGCTGCTTCTTCCTCGCCACGAAGACCATTGAGGAAGATGAGGTAAGTCTTCTCCTCAACACTCGCCGAGGTTGGGGTGAGCAGGAATTCGCTTGGCTTTGGACATCTGCTTTGATGCTGGCTCACGGAGCGAATCAAGGAAGCATCTCCACTTCTTCTGCCTCTGGGGTCCTTGGTGCTCTCTGACCTTGGTTACTTCCTTGAAGACTTTTCATTACCCAACTAGGTAACTTCATCAGTGCTAGAAGGCTGTGTGGTTTGCTCTCTGTGGCTTTCCCTGTTAGTGTTGGTACCAACAGTGTTACATACTTGTAGATAAACAGAGAGCAAACCCCACTGCTTCTAGCACTGATGATGTTACCTAGTTAGGTAATGAAACGTCTAGATAACATCATGGGTGCTAGAAGGGAATGGGGATAGCTCTTATTTTTATTTGAACCCACTCCCTCATAGCACTGATGATGTTACCTAGTTAGGTAATAAAATGTCTAAATAACATCATAGGTGCTAGAAGGGAATGGAGATAGCTCTTATTTTTATTTGAACCCACTCCCTCATAGCACTGATGATGTTACCTAGTTAGGTAATGAAACGTCTAGATAACATCATGGGTGCTAGAAGGGAATTGGGATAGCTCTTACTTTTATTTGAACCCACTCCCTCAGAGCACTGATGATGTTACCTAGTTTGGTAATGAAATGTCTGCAAGAAAACAGCCAAGCCCAAAGAGCACCAGGGACCCCACAGTTCAGCCCTAAGCTAAAAAAATTCTTCTCTTCTACCTCTCTTGAGATGGTTGAGGGACCACCTAGGTCCAAGGCCTCATGTGGCCACCCAGAGTTGAACTGTTGTGGCAGGAATGACTTAGGGCAAAATCTGGAGAAGGTTTTGTTGAGGTTTCCAATTACTCTCTCCAAAATGTGCAATCAGGCAAGGCTGCTGTTCCTAGGCCACCCACAGTGCTGCAGAGAGCAGAATGGGGTGGGTGGGGGTGAGGTCCCGTAGGCTTCAGAAGGAGAACTGAACACCCCCCCCAACTTAAAGTTCTCCCCATCACAGTGGAGATGGTGCAGAGAAGGGTTCCTTACCTTTTTCGACTGCTTGAAGCAATTTCAGATTGCTGGCGCAGCTACCCAAATACAGGGCTACGTCTCCTATTCCTGCTAATAGTAATACTTGCTTACTAAAACATGTTGACTTCGCTCTTTATTACATGCTCCTTACTGCCTTTATTAAAGATCGGGGCAGGACGCACAGTTTGCTACTGTAGGAGTCATCATATTTCTTTTTTTAATTAGATCATTTCAGCTTTGCCTGTCAGCTGAAAAAGGCTTTGGAGCTGCTTCTAAAGACTGAGGGAATTTACAGTGGCAGGCAAATACCTTGCCATCTGTAAGGTATATTCGCTGCCAGATATTGTTGCTGTTATTCTTTAATTAAAACAGTTTTGCCTACCCCTGTTCTAGCTGTTTATCCAAAATAATGTCCTCAGAGCAGCTTATAGATTTGGATCAAGGGGGATTACTAATAATTTGGTAAAACAGTTTTCTGCAAATTATAACTGGTAGATGATTTAGCCTAATTAGTAATCAAGTCTGCAGCAAGTGGCAACTCCTAGCTGATTTTAGTTGATTTCTGAAAGCCAAAGCTGAATTTTAAGTATTCGGACAGGAGAGCGTTAAGAAATCCCAGAACTGTTCATAAGATTGGAAAGTCAGAAAAACATAGTGGAATAAGGCAGATCACTTCATTACTTTTAAAAAGTAAAACAGATCCGTACTAAAATTGAATAAACACTGTCTAAACAGAGGTGTCTTTGTGGGTCATCTAAATGTAATAATTTTATTAGAGATTACGAAAGATAAAAGATTAATCAATCCAAGATAAGTGGAAGGCTGTTCAAGTTACTCTTCTGATTTATTATTTCTCTGCTCTCTTTTAATCATTAAGACCTCATTTGTAAATGCATTCTGGCATCTTTTGTCCACATCGCTCTTATACTCTGGCATTTTAAAATCCATATTTAGATCCACAACATCTGCTTCCACATCACTTTTGTAATCTGGCATTTTTAATACATTCAAACCCATATTCAAATCAGCCTCGGTCTGTTTTATCCTGTAAAATCTGTTGTTCTTCTATATCCTCTGTTATAGTATCAGACAATCTACTAAGTCATTTTTGAGTACATTGTTCCCAATCAGCCTTTATTTTTTTTTCTGAAGTCAAATAATATTGTTTCATTGTTTTAATGGATCTCTTCTCCTTTAATTATAATCCTGAGTTTTCTAGTCAAAATCCCCTCTTAACCATCTCTTTGTTTTCCAATTAGCACATTTTTCCCATCAGAGGATTTTTTTTACAGTTAATTTCAAAAGTCCATCTAACCCCCTTAACTTTCCAAAATCAAAATTCTAGTACCCCTTTTTGCTGTTCCCCCTCCCCCCCAAATTAATGTTTTTCTTTTTAATCTTTAAGCTTACATAAAGCTTCTTTTATCTAAGGTGGAAGGAGATTTCTCCTGGCATAATGGAATGGGACAGATGTACTACCTCTTCTGAAAGTTGTCCTGGTTGTGTATTGTAGCTGACTAGAGTTGGAAGGGTGTCAAGATTGGGAACTCTTCTTTTTTTTTCTCTCAATGATTTCTGGGATGTTTCTCATCGCTGTTTTCTTTTCGGCTTCAACCCTGCAGAAGATTCCAGTGCTGAAGATCTTAGCCAGGGATAGTTTTTGTGGCTGTTCTCCGGCAGAGATTCGCAGAATGGAGAAGATTATACTGGATAAATTGAACTGGGATCTTCACACAGCCACTCCGTTGGATTTCCTTCACATTGTAAATATTTGGGACAAAAAACTTTCTACTGTTAATGCTTTTCTCAGCTGGAGGATGTAGGAAAGATGGCTGGTCTTGGTAATGCTAAGGGTTAAGATGAGGCGGGTGGAGAACACCCAGCTTCACACCCAATTTTAGTGTATGGATTCAGATCCATTTTCATTTAACTCACACTTTTGAAGCACAGCCCATTACACCAAGTTTGCATTGGTAGAGCAGGAACATACTTCAAAAATGTCTTTTTCTTTCTTTCTTTCTTTCTTTCTTTCTTTCTTTCTTTCTTTCTTTCTTTCTCTTTTTTCTTTTTTTCTTCCTTCCCTTTCTGTCCTTCCTTCCTTTCTTTATTTCTCTCTCTCTCCTTCCCTTCCTTCCTTCCTTCCTTCCTTCCTTCCTTCCTTCCTTCCTTCCTTCCTTCCTTCCTTTCTTTCTTTCTTTCTTTCTTTCTTTCTTTCTTTCTTTCTTTCTTTCTTTCTTTCTTTCTTTCTCCCTCCTTCACTCTTTCTCTTTCTTTCTTCTTTCTTTCTTTTTCTTAATTCCCTTTCTCTCCTCTCTTTCTTTCTTTCTTTCTTTCTTTCTTTCTTTCTTTCTTTCTTTCTTTCTTTNTCTCTCTCTCTCTCTCTCTCTCTCTCTCTCTCTCTCTCTCTCTCTCTCTCTCTCTCTCCCCCCCCTCTCTCTTTCTTTCTTTCCCTACTAACCACCTATCTTGTAAGAAAACAACTTTGGGCAGCTGAATATAAATTCAGATGACTTTCTCAATGTAGATATAAACTTCAGAAGAACAGAAATGGCAGGTGACCCTTGAGTTAATGGCCAAAATGGAGCCAGTCCTTTGCAGTGAATAACTTGTGATGGTCACAAAGCATGTCGCTGAATCACCACAGTTGTTAAGCAGGCACCACAGCTGTTAAGCCAACCAGTGGTTTGCGGTGGGTGGTTCCCCCCCCCCAAAACTGGAAATAAATGCGGGGGTTTTTTGGGGCAAAACCATTGTAAAATGCAGTCACATGGATGCAGGGGTCTGCAAATGGCATAAATGCAGCCGAGTTTCCCAGCACCCAGAATGCAGTTATATGACTGGGGCAGGGAGGAACAACTATGAGAATTCTGAATCTGAATCATAAGTAACCATGTACCCCCCCCCCCACACACACACACACATGTGACTAAGTGACCGGTTATAAATTGAGGACCACCTATGGCGCACATTTTGCCAACAAATCTAAAAGAATTTCCAATTTCTTTTAATCCGAGTCGAGTCCAACTGCAAAAGTTGCATTGACAACACTGAGAAATTGTGTGTTTCTGTCCCCCAAATGACACTTGCCAGATTTCTTCCCCTAAATTGGTTTCAGGGTACCAGCAGACTAGGGAATCCTAGCCCTACTTGTGAATCACATTCTTAAGGCTGCTCTCTCTCAATTGTATTTGTATTTAATTGTGGGCCGTGACTGGCAAACTACATTTTAAAACCCTCAGAAACAACAGCCAAATTCAGTAAAGACAACATAACATATATAGAAAGCTAGTTTGGTCTGGTGGGATAAGGCTAGAAACCAGGAGATGGTGAGTTCTAGTCCCACCTTTTAGGCATTAAAGTCATCTGGGTGACTTTGGGCCAATCACCAGGAGACGCTGAGTTCTAGTCCTGCCTTAGGCATAAAAAGTCATCTGGGTGACTTTGGGCCAATCAGCAGGAGACGCTGAGTTCTAGTCCTGCCTTAGCCATGAAAACCAAGTGATTCTGGGCCAGTCAACCAAGAGACTGTGAGTTCTAGTCCCGTTCTAGGCATGAAAGCTGTCTGGATGCTTGGGCCAGTCACCAGGAGACAATTAGGCCAGTCCCTTTCTCTCAGCCCCAGCCCGCCTCACAGGACTGTTGTGGGGGAAAAAATGGGAAGAAGAAGCAGTAATTAAAATACATTGCTGCCTTGAGTCGTCTATAAAAAAAATAATAAAGGCAGGATATAAATTAAATGAAGAAATAACCTGTCACAGAAAAGCTGGCCAATGAACAGGAAAACAAAACAGGACAAAGGGGAGAATGGAATAAAAAGCAGTCAAAAAGGAGAACGTAAAACAGAAGTGGAAGAATCATCTAGAGCAGGGGTAGGCAACCTTGGCTCTTGTATGACTCGTGGACTTCAACTCCCAGAATTCCTGAGCCAGCCATGCTGAGGGGAAAGGGAGAGGTTTCCAAGCTGAGCCACGCTGGCTCAGGAATTCTGGGAGTTGAAGTCCACGAGTCATACAAGACCAAGGTTGCTTACCCCTGAGCTAGAGAGAGAAAATAAACTTCCTAGCGACCTCGCACTGCATCGCAATAAAAAGTGTCAGTGTGTCCAAGAAGGGAGAGAAGGTTTGGGACTTAGCTGCAAGATTGTCTGTGACACTACACAACCTCTTCACAACCTGTTACCTTCTGGGAGAAGGAGGCTCCGTGATATACGAAGCAGAACATCCAGATTCAGCCACAAGTTTCATTTCATACAGCATTAACCTTGTGAACTCTCAAGCTTCCTCCTTCCGTTATGTATTCAAGATGGACAGATGTAAAAAAGAAGTTGAGACTCTAGAAAGAGTACAGAGAAGAGCAACAAAGATGATTAGGGGACTGGAGGCTAAAACATATCAGGAACGGTTGCTGGAATTGGGTATGTCTAGTTTAATGAAGAGAAGGACGAGGGGGGACAGGATAGCAGTCTTCCAGTATCTCAGGGGCTGCCCCAAAGAAGAGGGAGTCAAGCTATTCTCCAAAGCACCTGAAGGCAGAACAAGAAGCAATGGATGGAAATTAATCAAGGAGAGAAGCAACCTAGAACTAAGGAGAAACTTCCTGACAGTTAGAACAATTAACCAGTGGAACAACCTGCCTCCAGAAGCGGTGAATGCTCCAACTCTGGAAGTTTTTAAGAAGAGACTGGACAGCCATTTGTCTGAAATGGTACAGGGTTTCCTACCTGAGCAGGGGGTTGGACTAGATGGCCTCCAAGGCCCCTTCCAACTTTACTACTACTACTATTATTATTATCATTATTATTATTAGTGATTAATATTTATATGTTACTTATATGTAAGGGTGTAGGTCTATACGTATGTTGTATACAGTATGTTTTAAATGTGTGTTGCGTATGTGTACCCTTCGAGAGGAAGCAGCTGAATTTCATTTTTAATGCGTGCCATTGTGCCCACAGGAAAAAAATGACAATAAAAGGTTATCTAATCTAGATGCTAAGCTTCCCTCTTCGCTTTCTCATCCCACTCCAGTTCCATGCAGTCGCCTTGTCCACCAGGCCTCAACTGCTGACCAGCTTGCCCAAGATGAATCCGTCCCAGCACGTTGCTTTGCTGACCAAGCACTTACTGCATTGCCTAGCCTGCTACCAACTCCTCCAGTTCAAGGGCTCCATGTTGGCCCTGGCCATCGTGAGCCTGGAAGTGGAGAAGCTGATTCCTGATTGGCTGGCTCTCATCATCGAACTGCTCCACAAGGCACAGGTAGGATGATACCACTGATCCTTAGGTGAAAGGGGGGGGGCTTTTATCTTGATGCTGTCTTGGAACTGCAGGAATCAAAGACTGGCCCTGTGATGGAGACCCTGGCAATGAGCAAATGGACCTCTGTGCGTGGAGTTACTTTGGGGTCCTTGGTGCTCTCTGGTCTTGGTTATTTCCTTGCAGACGTTTCATTACCAAACTAGGTAACATCATCAGTGCTAGAAGGGAGTGGTGTTTGTGGAGAGAAGGAGGAGGACTGCAGGGTCATTGGTGCTCTCTGACCTTGGATGTTTCTTGCAGACGTTTCATTACCAAACTAGGTAACATCAGTGATAGAAGGGGTGTTTGTGGAGAGGAGGAGGACTGTAGGGCCCTTGGTGCTCTCTGACCTTGGGTGTTTTATTGCAGACGTTTCATTACCAAACTGGGTAACATCATCAGTGCTGGAAGGGGTGTGGGGATTGCTCTTGTTTTTATTTAAATCCCACTTCCAGAGGTCCTGTTCTCGCGGGTCTTCTGGAGCCTCAGAAAATTGTGGGTGAAGGTTTGCGTGATTTTTGGACGCTTCAGTGGCTGCGCGAGAGCAAGATCCTCTCGCACAATATCCAGAGGTCCGGAGCCTTGGCATGTCACCCAAAATGGCATGGTGTGTCACCTGTCATGAGTTCACCATCGCTAGAATCTGATGAGTTCACCATCACTGGAATTCCTACAGCAGTGATGGCGAACCTTTTAGAGACCGAGTGCCCAAACTGCAACCCAAAACCCACTTATGCATCGTTCAGTGTCGTGTGGGTGTGGCCCATTGGGTGGGCGTGGCCCATTGGGTGGGCGTGGCTGCAGTGGTAACAGCAGACTGGGTGGGACTAAAAAGTTCAATCAATCAATTCCAACTTTGCAAGATCTTTTTTTTTCCCCACGAGAAGTTGAAATTGACTGATTGAACCCCCCCCCCTTTTTTTTTGCACACGGTGGCGGAGGCCTAAAGCAAAAAGGTTTTATAAAACTCAGCTGAAGGCCTAGGACTGGGGCGACGGCGGGCGTGCCCACAGAGAGGGCTCTGAGTGCCGCCTCTGGCACCCGTGCCATAAGTTCGCCACCACTGTCCTACAGGCTAACAGAATTAACAGAGTTAGAAGGGACCTTGGAGGTCTTCTAGTTCAACCCTCTGCTCAGGCAGGAAACCCTATACCATTTCAGACAAATAATTGTCCACTCTCTTAGAAGCCTCCAGTGTGGGAGCATTCACAACTTCTGGAGGCAGGTTGTTCCACTGGTTAATTGTTCTAACTGTCAGGAAGTTTCTTCTTAGTTCTAGGCTGCTTCTCTCCTTGGTTAGTTTCCACCCGTTGCTTCTTGTCCTGCCTTCATGTGCTGCCTTGGAGAAGAGGTTGACTCCCTTTTCTTGTGCAGGGAGTTGGATTAGATGACCTCCAAGGCCCCATCAGATGCTTCCAACCACAACTGAACCACTTAAAGAAGCCTTTTGTCTCTCTCTCTTCTTTCTCCCCCCCCCCCAATCCAGATGGATAGCTCCCAGCTGATCCACTGCCGGGAGCTGGTGTCCAAGCACCTTTCCACTCTGCAGCCTCCACTCCTGCCCAACTCGGTTTACCTCTACAGTCCCCTCAAGCACAACCTGGTGACTTGCCCCACGGGGGCCTTCCGATTCCACGCCCCCGTGGTGCCAGTCCCCGATTGGCAGGACAACAGCAAGCCCGAAATGCCCGCCAAAGGATCCGCCACGCTCTGCCACCGCCGCCGGCTCCCTCCCGGCAGGTGCAAGCCCGCGACGGCCAAGCGCAAGGTGGAAGAGATGGAGGTGGACGAGTTCTACGACGGGATCAAGCGGTTGTACAACGAAGAGAGTCCTCCAGACGGCGGGGAAGGCAAGGCCACCCCCGGGTGTGGCATCGACGTCTCGTGGCAAGGAGGCAGCGTTTCTCCCTGCCCTCCATTGCAGCCCGTTTCTGTCATGTAGCCTAATGTTCCTCAGGCTCAGCAACTTGACGATGTGTGGACTTCAACTCCCAGAGTTCCCCAGCCAGCATGGCTGGCTGGGGAACTCTGGGAGTTGAAGTCCACACATCTTCAACTTGGCTAGGTTGAGAAACACTGGTGTAGTCCTATGTCCCCGTGCGCCTTTGGTGGAAAGCCCGTTCGTGCAGATGCAACATCAGACAACCATTGGCCTTTTGGGCCAGTGGAGGGAAAAAGGCCGTACCTTAACTGGGTTAAGCAGAAGGGAGCTAGCTATCCTTTAAAAAAAAAAAAAAGAATCTTCCCCCCCCCCTTTTCCTGGTTTTCCTAATGATAGTTTAAACTCTGTTCAAAGTTCAACTCTTGATTTTAAGTCCTTTAAAAAAAAAAAAAAGATCCCCAAAACCAATCCCCCCCCCACCCAAAAAAAAAAAATTAGTAGCAAAAATCGTTTCTGTAGTGTTGTTTGTTTCCACCGTTCTCGGATCGACTGTTGTGTATTTGTAATCTCATGTATTGTTTCGAAGAATTGACACGGAGCGTGCCGAACGCTTTTTCAGATTCTCCAGCTGTGTTCTCTCCTCCTTCCAAATTTCTTTCCTTTCTAAAGGACTTCCTTTGCCCAATTTCTTTAAAAAATTATTTCCGAATTGTATGACTCCCTCGATTTTTATTTTTATTTTTTGCACTTTTATTCTGGGTAAGATTCCCTTTCACGAACAAAAGAGAAACCCCTTCTCTTTGTAGAGTTCTTTTGTCATCCTGTAAGTTTGGGTTTTTTTGGTCTTTGGACTGTGGTAGCTAAAACTAAAAACTTTTGCCTTTAAAATTAAGGTTTTTCTTTTAACGAAAAGGAATCTTTGTAACCTGCCCTGGGGTAGAAAGCCAAAATGGACGCTCAAGAAGAGCGCCGTGTTTGGTTCGGAAGGTTTAAGCTGCACAACAATTAGGATTTTTAATTTTATAGAAAACCTCTGTGGCTGCTGTTAAGACTGACCAAACCGAAACATCACACCTTTCTTGTGTTTTTATGTACAGAAAAGCTTTCTGCATCAAATGCAACATATAATGAAACAAAACAAAGGGTGGGCATTGAAAGCACCTGTGTCCTTTGGGCCATTTTTTTTTTTGTAGCTTTGTGTATAAATGATCTTAGATTCTCCCCCCCCCCCAATCCTTATGTTTTCTCCCTGACCTTTATGTTTGTGTAAATTTACAACTTTAAAGACAGGGACAAACTAAAAAAAAAAAAAAAGACTTTTAAAGATCTTCTGTTTTAATTCTAAATGCACTGCTTCTTGGAATAGCCTTCTTGAAAGGACCTCCTTGATTTTAAAGCTCTCTTCACGGTCTCTGTGGAAGATGCTGTGTTTGCCAGTCTCACGGAGAAAGGCTTCGGGTAGCAATAAAAACAAACACGTTGTCCTTCAGTTTCTTGAGTCTTGGATTTCTTTCAAAGTAGTAACGGGGAAAAAAAAAGACTGAATGGGATGAATGAGTAGCTCAGCCTTGTAGCAGTTTCTCTTCTGCTCGCTTTGGCCAACTGTTAAGGCAGCTTCCATTGCTACTTCAGGGGTCTCCACCAATTTTTAAGACTTCTGGACTTCAACTCCCAGGTTGACAAGTCTTAACAATCGCTAAGCTTGGGAGACTCCTGGCCTCTGAAGACGAACTCCAAAGGATCCCAAAAGATCTTGGCCAACTCGAACAATGGGCCCTACCCAACAAAATGAGTTTCAATGTGGAGAAAAGCAAAGTGTTAACATTTAGGCAGGAGAAACCAAAGGCACAAATACAGATTGGGCAAGAGCTGGCTTAAAAACAGTAACTGTTGAGAGGGACCTTGGAGTCCTAGTGGATGATCACTTGACTGTGAGCCAGCAGTGTGCAGCAGCAGCCAAAAAATAATACAATCCTGGGTTGTATAAACAGGAATAGAATCAAGATCAAGCGAAGTACTAGTACCGCTTTATAAAGCCCTAGTAAGACCGCACCTGGAATAATGCAGCCAATTTTGGTCACCATATCACAAAAAAGATGTTGAGAGTTTGGAAAAAATTCAGAGAAGATGATCAAAGGCCTGGAGGCTAAAACATACGAAGAATGGCTATGGGCCTTGGGTTTGAATCGTCTAAAGTAGGGCTGGCTCAGGAATTCTGGGAGTTGAAGTCCACGAGTCATAAAAGAGCCAAAGTTGCCTACCCCTGGTCTAAAGAAAAGAAAAAACACGGGTGACCTGATAGCAGTATTCCAGTATCTGAGGGGCTGCCACAAGGCAGAGGGGGTCAGGTGCACCAGAGCACCAGAGGGAAGAATGAGAAACAATGGTTGGAACTTGATCAAGGAGAGAAGCAACCTGGAATTAAGGAGAAACTTCCTGACAGTGAGGACAATCAACCGGTGGAACAGCTTACCCCCAGAAATCATGGGTGCTCCATCACTAGAGATCTTTAAGAAAAGACTAGACAATAATCACCTGTCAAGAGATGGTGTAGGTTCTCTTGCTTGAGCAGGGGGCTGGACTAGAAGACCTCCAGGGTCCCTTCCAGCTCTATTCTCTTACCAAGATATTGCTTAAAATACAATTTCTCCTCTTTGAAGACTTTGCAGAACTGAAGACTTGGCAGAACTGGGTTCAAAGGCACTTTAATGGCAGTTCTTGGCTCCCTCCTGTAGCCTCCCTTCAGCCTTAGCCTTGACTTCCTGGATATATTTGATTGATTGATTTGCTTTCTAGTCTGCCTTCATTTTGGTCAACTCGAGATGCCCTGGATAACACTCCCTCCTATATTCCCAAGTAGTCGTCTTGGCATGATCCAGAAAATTTGTCACAGATGTGTTGACAAGACTAGTGTCCAGAACTGGTGTCTTCTGACCATCTCCCAGCTGAGCAGGACTTCAGTTAAGACTTGACTCCTTGATCTTTCTGGATGTAGCTTGTGAGCCCCGAAAAGGTGACACATCCAGCCTGATACAATTAGTCCTTGACTTAACAACCATTTATTTAGCGACCTTTCGGTTACGACAGCACTGAAAAAAGTGACTTAATGACTGCTTTTCACACTTACATGACCATTGCAGCATCCCCGCGGTCACATAATCAAAATTCAGACACTCGGCAACTAGCGTGTATTTTTGTGACGGTTGCCGTGTCCTGGGGCCACGTGACCACCTTTTGCGACCCGATTTAGCAGAATCAACGGGGAAGCCATTTTACCAACTGAACATCTGCAGTGATCCCGTTAACCGCTGTGGCAAGCAAAGTTGTAAAACGGTGCAAAACTCATTTAGCAACAGAAATTGGGGGCTCAAGTGTGGTCATAAGTTGAGGCCTCCCTGTACTATTTCAGTAAGAAGTTGAGGAGAACTTGGGAACAAAGCCTGAAATATAAGCTATTCCTGGGAGCCTCTATGGATCACGGTGGGGTTTGAATTCAACATATCAACAAATCCTCACCGTAGGTCTACCACCTTCGTTGGGCCAAGTCAAATGGGTAGCCCAAAGTCCTTTTTCCACTTGGGGTTCCCTACTCACATTGCGGCTGTTTGCATCGAATTTAGACAAAGGCCTCTCCGTGAATTCATAAATTCCAATATCTCAGGGGTTGCCATAAAGAAGAGGGAGTCAAGCTATTCTCCAAAGCGCCTGAAGGCAGGACGAGAAGCAACGGATGGAAACTAATCAAGGAGAGAAGCAACCTAGAACTAAGGAGAAACTTCCTGACAGTTAGAACAATTAACCAATGGAACAACCTGCCTCCAGAAGCGGTGAATGCTCCAACACTGGAAGTTTTTAAGAAGAGACTGGACAGCCATTTGTCCGAAATGGTATAGGGTTTCCTGCCTGAGCAGGGGGTTG